CCAGGCCGGGAGAATACCGGCTAATCTTTAATAATAATAAGTAACTTTAAAACACTTGAAATTTTGCAAAGTTTCCTGACGTAATAGATGTGGTCATGGAGAATGTAAACAAACCGGGTGGGGTGCGCCGTATTTGAAAGACTGCTTGCTGTATAGTAAATTTTGGTCATAATTTGACATCGCCATATTAGAGGAATGCCATAAGGCGAAACGCCGTAAAGCGGAGCCCTACTGTACAGGTGAACGTGAATGAAATGTGCCAGCACCAGAGGTGGACGGTTGTGGGTCATCTGGGTTTTCATCACTAATTACGTTATTTTGGGCACTGCTTTCGGTCACGCCCTCTCTAAAACCATGAAATTCACTTTCACTGGCACTTCCATCGCTGTTGGAACTATCACTTGGGAACAGTAGACCTCCAATCCGGCGAGGAGTGAGGTACTTCTCACAGCGAGGCATGGTGAAAATGGACTACAGTGGTCCCTCGATAATCGTAGGGCTCGAGAGTCGTAAATTTCGGAAATCATAGTGATATTTTCGTAAAAACATGGGCTCACTAATCATAGATTGACTCGCGAATAGTAGTTCATCCGGAGCGTGTACGCGCACTGTGAGGTGGGACGGCCTCCCTACCCAGCCAGTCTGGCATTGTTTACCAGTGAGCGAAGGTCCCCTCACTTGCTCCTACAAAATATTTCATAATACTATTCCATTCATTTTAGTGCTTAAAAGTACTAAATAAGCTACCATGGCTCAAAGAAAGCTCCTAGTGCCAAGCCTTTGATAAAGAAGGTGAGAAATACGATTGAATTTAGGAAAAACATCATTGAACAATATGAAAGTGGCGTAAGTGTGGCTGAACTGGATAGGATGTATAACAAACCCTATACAACCATATGTTTCATCGTGGCCAAGAAAAAGGAAATCAAGGCTGCTGCTGTTGCAAAGGGGTAAATATGCTGACAAAAATGAGATCACCAGTACTCGAAGAGGTTGAGAAGTTATTATTGGTGTGGATAAACAAGAAACAATTAGCAGGAGATAGTATTATGATGTCGATTATTTGTGAAAAGGCTAGGCAGTTGCACGACGATCTGGTAAAGAAATTGCCTGCAAATAGTGGTGATGTGAGTGAATTTAAGGCCAGCAAAGGTTGGTTTGAGAGAGTTAAGAACCGTAGTGGCATATACAGTGTGGTAAGGCATGGTGAGGCTGCCAGTTCGGACCACAAAGCAGCTGAAAAATATGTGCATGAATTCAAGGAGTACATAGAGGCTGAAGGACTGAAACATGAACAAGTGTTCAATTGTGACGAAACAGGCCTCTTTTGGAAGAAAATGCCAAAGAGGACCTACATTACACAGGAGGAAAAAGCACTGCCAGGACACAAGCCTATGAAAGACAGGCTGACGCTCATGTTCTGTACTAATGCTAGTGGGGATTTCAAAGTGAAGCCGTTACTAGTGTACCATTCTGAAAATCCCAGAGTGTTCAGGAAAAACAATGTTATGAAGAGTAAATTGTGTGTGTTTTGGAAATCTAATAGTAAGGCATGGGTCACGAGGGACATTTTCGTCGAGTGGTTCAACGAAGTGTTTGGCCCTAGTGTGAAGAATTGCCTCCTGGAAAAGAAATTGGATCTCAAGTGCCTCCTAGTAATGGACAATGCACCTGCTCATCCTCCAAACTTGGATGACCTAATTTTTGAGGAGTTTGGGTTCATCACAGTAAAGTTCTTGCACCCCAGTACCACTCCTCTCCTCCAGCCCATGGACCAGCAGGTCATTGCAAACTTTTAAAAACTCTACACCAAAGCAATGTTTCAAAGGTGCTTGAATGTGACCTCAGACACTCACATGACCCTAAGAGATTTTTGGAGAGAACACTTCAGCATCCTCCATTGCATAACCCTTATAGGTACGGCTTGGGAGGGAGTGACCACCAGGACTTTGAACTCTGCTTGGAGAAAATTGTGTCGACAAGAGGGATTTTGAAGGGTTTGGGGCTGACCCTGATGAGCCTGTGTCTATTGTTAAATCTATTGTGGCACTGGGGAGTTCCATGGGGTTGGATGTGAGTTTGGAGGATGTGGAAGAGTTGGTGGAAGACCACACCGAAGAGCTCACCACTGAGGAGCTGCAAGAGCTTCAGCAGGAAGAGCAACAGATCGCAGCTCAGAATCTTGCTGCAGAGGAGGAGAAAGAGAGATGGAAGAAAGTGCCTTCTTCAGAAATTAAGGAGATTTTTGAAATGTGGGCTAAGATGGAAAGATTTATGGAGAAACATCACCCTGACAAGGCTGTTGCAAGCCATGTTGGCAACATGTACAGAGACAAAGTCTTGGCCCATTTTAGGGACGCCAGAAACAGAGCTCTCTGGACAGTTACTTTGCGAGACAGGACTCCAGTGCCTCTCAAGCTGGTCCTAGTGGCATTAAGAAACAGAGAAGAGAAGTAACCCCAGAAAAGCAATTGGTACCTGAGATGTTGATGGAAGGGGATTCCCCTTCCAAACTGTAAATAATCCAATCTCTCTCCTCCTCCAGTCTTCCATACACTAAGAAGAATCGCCAATAAGGGTAAGTGTTATGCTGTTAGTTTCATTCATCATGTGCCACTGTATTGTTTATGTACTACATCTATATTTCATGTGAAAAAAATTTTTGTTTTAATACTTCTGGGTGTCAGGAACGGATTAATTGTATTTACATTATTTCTTATGGGGAAAATTGATTCGAAAATTGTAGATTTCGATAATAGTAACACCTCCAGGAACGGATTAATTACGATAAACGAGGGACCACTGTACCAAGATGGCCTTCCCACAGTGCACCACTGAGTCCAAGATTTTTTTTCACAGGGTGCACACCCACCATGCAGACCCATTCTCTCTCATGTAGGCCTACCAGCTTTCTCCCGCTTGATTTGAAGCCACTAGAATTTATGCATATAAATACGTTGGAAACATTGGCTCGTAAGATGTATATATACGACCGAAACAGTTGAAGGGTTAAGAGGAAAGTGATGCTGACCCTGAGTTTAGTGGCTTTGAGGTGGATGTGGCCATAAGTGGTCGAGGAAATATCAAAAACCTCGATAATAACCCATGTGTAACATCCTTTCAGAATGTCTTATAACGTATGCCGTAAGTATGGAGAAACAATTCTGGAACGTGTAATGCATGTTAAGCAGGTTGGCTGGGTGGCTGACTGGCTGGCTGACTCTATCTCCATCTGTCTCATTCTATGTCTATCTGTTCGTCTATCTCTGTCTCTCTGTCTCACAGGTACGCATAAATACAATTATGTATACATAGTGTAAATTACCTAGGATAACCCCAAAAAATCCAGACAGTGCTATACTGTGCAAGGATGACTGGCAAATACCGTCATCATTTGTTATACCTGTTGGTTCACAAGTGGCTCTCTCTGATTATTATTATTATTATTATTATATACTCCCATGTGTCCAAAACATTGCTGGGACTTATAAATACTTTGTATATACAGTGGACCCCCGCATAACGATCACCTCCGAATGCGACCAATTATGTAAGTATATTTATGTAAGTGCGTTTGTACGTGTATGTTTGGGGGTCTGAAATGGACTAATCTACTTCACAATATTCCTTAGGGGAACAAATTCGGTCAGTACTGGCATCTGAACATACTTCTGGAGAGAAAAAATATCGTTAACCGGGGGTCCACTGTATTTCTAGACAATAGTAAATGACCACCTGTCAATGTGTCTGTGACAATTTGAGTACAATTTCAGTACCTAATATTAGTGTCAGAACAAAGATTGGTTATGAAATGAGAAGAACTACTATAAACTGTAATTATCAGAACATAAAAAATATATAAAATAATATAAAAACGAGAAAAAAAGGTATATCGGCAAGACTTATGCAAGTGGCAGAACTCAATGTTGCTGTCAGGTAGCATCCGGTGCCAGCTTTGCGGCCTCATATCTTGGCAAGTACTGCCCCTAAAAAATTTTTTTATCCTATAACACTTGGAAAATTGTGCTATTTATTTCTATTAATTTTTTTTTTTCATAATCGGGGCGCTGTGTGAGAGAACGTATATATATGTTTGGACCATTTACGGGTTAAGTGCAAGCCTACTGGCCTCGCATGGGCCAGTAGGCTTGCTGCAGTGTTCCTTCTTTCTTATATTCTTATGAAATCGGCCTGATGACACTGGAGAACAGGAGAGTTAGGGAAGACATGATAACGACATACAAAATACTGTGAGGAATTGACAAGACAGACAGAGACAAGATGTTCCGGAGATGGGACACAGAAACAAGGGTCACAATTGGAAGTTGAAGACTCAGATGAGTCATAGGGTTGTTAGGAAGTATTTCAACAGTCATAGAGTGGTCAGGAAGTGGAATGTAGTCTAGAAAGTGACGTAGAGGAGGCAGGAACCATTAGTTTTAAGACGAGGTATTATAAAGCTCATGGAGCAGGGAGAGAGAGGACCTAGTAGTGACCAGTGAAGAGGCTGGGCCAGGAGCTGTGACTCAACCCCTGCAGCCACAAATTGGTGAGTACACACACTCTTACTCACATATTCTCTCTCACTCACACACACTTCCTCACCCTCTCTTCCTCCCCATACACACCAGACTTGTAGAACACACACATTTGTAGATTGTACTCTCTTAACACTTGTTTTTTCTAAACTATTGGAAACTCTCACTTGCAGCAGGTATTGCAAACTCGGTACATGTATGAAATCATGTGTTCTGGGACTGCAAATTGAGGGAGAGGGGTATTTGCATAATGTAGATTCTTTCACAGTGTGTTTTTGCTTAAGTGATGATGCTGAACCTATATACAGTATGTAGTTAACAGAATAGGTAGCTTTGATAGTTTTTTATAAGTTGACATTGTAGTAATAAATTATAGTTTTTATAAAATTTTGTTTTCTCTTATTTGGAGTGATATGAAAGAAATTAAACTCCTGCTCTTCTGCATTGACCCCTGAATAACAGGGAAGTGGTGCAGTGCAACTTGTGCTCGGCTCTGTTTTACTCCAAGAGGGCCTATGAGGCACACAATCACCACCATCGTGAGAGTGACATGTTTGCCGCCAATGAAGAGATGAGGTTAGAGCATGCATCTAACATTTTATTACATGCAACCTAGTATATTAATGAAAAGAAATTTTTGCACCAGACAAAATGGGTAGGACTATGTCTGGTCTGTATTTTGTCAGACCAACCTCTTTTAACCATATTAGTTTTCTTATTTTTTTATATTAGTGTTTATTTGAAGTTCTGGTAAATGATTTTTTAATTAAGGGGCATATCTGAAAATATAGAACTTACTAATTTATGCTGATAATTTCCCAAGTGGTGTTGGGTGACCATGGTTGAACATTTTTTATTATAGTTGGAATTTTTTTTTTAAATATGCTTAGGTGTGAAACAAACAACTCTTGCCTTCCAACCCTTATTACTAATGGAACATATTCACTATATGGCTAATTGTATAATTAGATCATAGGTAGTAGGAAAAAAAATATATAGCCTCTCCTCACTTACCAATGTACTCGTTTCCCGACAACTCGGAGTTACGACGGGCTCTGACGAGTCGTTATTGTATACTATATATGAGAACTTGGATCACGAACGGGCAACACAGCATCTCAGCATCAAGCATCTGAATCTCCTTCCTACAGTCCCTCAGAACATTAGCTTTCACAGTCTCCAAGACTACATATCTGTACAAATTTCCTGTTGTTTTTTCCTCTTCCAAGAGGAAAAACAACAGGAAAATGTAAAAAGTACAAAAGTTCATTGTAAAGGGGTTAGTGATGCATCTCAGCATCAAGCAGTCTCCAAGACTACATATTTCATCTATAAATTTGTACTTTATTGTGCATCCCATAGTAGAAAATAGAAGTGCAACAGCACTTGCAAGAGGAAAATGGAAGAAGTACAAAGGTTCACAGTAAAGAGGTTAGCTGGTGTGTTCGTCTGTGTTTACATTCTCGGTGTATCATGGCAGCTTAAGAAATGATTAAACTCAGTGATCAAGGTATATTGATGGTAATAATCATAATAATAATAATTGCTCTGGAGTGCTTTAAATGTCAGCTATCAAACCTATATAAAATACGTATGACATTTGAAGCACTCCAGAACGATTAGTATTTATTATATTATAAATTATTATTATAAATTATTATTCGTATATTGTTCTTTCTTTCAACACACCGGCCATATCCCACCGAGGCGGGGTGGCCCAAAAGGAAAAACGAAAGTTTTGCCTTTTAAATTTAGTAATATATACAGGAGAAGGGGTTACCAGCCCCTTGCTCCTTGTATATTGTTATTATTATAAATTATTCTTCTTACTATTATAAATTATTATTTTTTTTTTCAACAAGTCGGCCGTCTCCCACCAAGGCAGGGTGACCCAAAAAAGAAAGAAAATCCCCAAAAAGAAAATACTTTCATCATCATTCAACACTTTCACCACACTCACACATTATCACTGTTTTTGCAGAGGTGCTCAGAATACAACAGTTTAGAAGCATATACATATAAAGATATACAACATATCCCTCCAAACTGCCAATATCCCAAACCCCTCCTTTAAAGTGCAGGCATTGTACTTCCCATTTCCAGAACTCAAGTCTGACTATATGAAAATAAATTATTATTATAAACTATTATTATAAATTATTATTACCATTGACATACCTTGTTCACTGAGTTTAATCTTTTCTTACGATGCCATGAGACAGAGAGCATAGCATACGACTTAGAAAAAAAAATCAGGAAAAATCACGCTATTTTTGCATTTTTTTCTTATGATAAGAGTGATCTAGGAGAGTTTGCCCTGATGTAAACTCCTTTTTCTTTCATTATAGACTAGAGGTACAGATGAGAGAATGACAGCCTCTGCCCTTACCCCTCACATAATATGGCTTATATTATTCATTTTGGCATATTTATTACAGTTCTAGGGTATTTATCGTGTTTCTGATATCAATTTGGAATAAATGTGATGGGAAACCTTTTATTGTTTTCTGTAATATATATTAGTTATGCACATTAAAATAAAGTTATCAAGTTGGAGTTTGATTTTTATTTTACTATACGTATTTAATTCACCATTTGGCATCGTTACAAAGTGGGCAGAGCTACAACAGAGGGAGAAACCAGTAGTGTCTCAGTAACTGATGCTACCCCATGCTGCAAGGAGATGTGCCTTACCCCACTATAAAATATTGTATAATTATACTATTACTATCAATAAAGGTAGATAACCTTATTATTATTTTTTATAATAAAATAAAAAAGTTATCTACCTATCATATTTATTCCAGAATAATAGGTATAAATAACATAGAAGTATGATAAAGACTCCCAAATTAATAAAAACTGACATTTTGTAGAGAGGTATTGAGGGGTGGAGGGCAGGAAGGGATAAAAAAAAAAAATGACTGCAGCCATTACAGAAAATGTTAGGCGCTATGTGCCTGAAGGGTAATTATAGAAGATTACTCTTATCCTAAGCAAAAACTGAAAAAAGTGCAGTTTTCTTGAAAAAAAAAGAAAATCCCAAGTAATCAGCTATGCACGCATTTTCTGGAATATCTCGGAAGTAAGTCATTGACCTATTTCAAGTTGTATTACTGTTAATAATAAACAGATTGAAAGGAATTTCAATTTTGGGTGGTGACACTTTTGAAACGTCAGTAAGGGGTGACTCCTTGATTAGCGATGAATTCGTTTACCGATGTGGTCTTAGGAACAGAACTCCATTGGTAAGAGAGGAGAGGCTGTATACAGCCTCTCCTTGCTTAATGACTGAGTTCCGTTCCTAAGACCACATTGGTAAACAAATTTGTTGCTAAGTGAGAAGCATACTATAATGACAGTGGGTTTGTGTCAACCATCTTTGATATTGTTTTAGTGTCGCCTTTGCACCATTTATAACATTTCTGGTACATTTTCAATTTTTTTTTTTATTAACACTGGCCGATTCCCACCAAGGCAGGGTGGCCCGAAAAAGAAAAACTTTCACCATCATTCACTCCATCACTGTCTTGCCAGAAGGGTGCTTTACACTACAGTTTTTAAACTGCAACATTAACACCCCTCCTTCAGCGTGCAGGCACTGTACTTCCCATCTCCAGGACTCAAGTCCGGCCTGCCGGTTTCCCCTGAATCCCTTCATGTTACTTTGCTTACACTCCAACAGCATGTCAAGTATTAAAAACCATTTGTCTCCATTCACTCCTATCAAACACGCTCACGCATGCCCGCTGGAAGTCCAAGCCCCTCGCACACAAAACCTCCTTTACCCCCTCCCTCCAACCTTTCCTAGGCCGGCCCCTACCCCGCCTTCCTTCCACTACAGACTGATACACTCTTGAAGTCATTCTGTTTTGCTCCATTCTCTCTACATGTCCGAACCACTTCAACAACCCTTCCTCAGCCCTCTGGACAACAGTTTTGGCAATCCCGCACCTCCTCCTAACTTCCAAACTACGAATTCTCTGCATTATATTCACACCACACATTGCCCTCAGACATGACATCTCCACTGCCTCCAGCCTTCTCCTCGCTGCAACATTCATCACCAATGCTTCACACCCATATAAGAGCGTTGGTAAAACTATACTCTCATACATTCCCCTCTTTTCCTCCAAGGACAAAGTTCTTTGTCTCCACAGACTCCTAAGTGCACCACTCACTCTTTTCCCCTCATCAATTCGATGATTCACCTCATCTTTCATAGACCCATCCACTGACACGTCCACTCCCAAATATCTGAATACATTCACCTCCTCCATACTCTCTCCCTCCAATCTGATATCCAATCTTTCATCACCTAATCTTTTTGTTATCCTCATAACCTTACTCTTTCCTGTATTCACTTCTAATTTTCTTCTTTTTCATACCCTACCAAATTCATCCACCAACCTCTGCAACTTCTCTTCAGAATCTCCCAAGACCACAGTGACATCAGCAAAGAGCAACTGTGACAACTCCCACTTTGTGTGATTCTTTATCTTTTACCTCCATGCCTCTTGCCAAGACCCTCACATTTACATCTCTTACAACCCCATCTATAAATATATTAAACAACCATGGTGACATTACACATCCTTGTCTAAGGCCTACTTTTACTGGGAAATAATCTCCCTCTTTCCTACATACTCTAACTTGAGCCTCACTATGCTCGTAAAAACTCTTCACTGCTTTCAGTAACCTACCTCCTACACCATACACCTGCAACATCTGCCATATTGCCCCCCTATCCACCCTGTCATACACCTTTTCCAAATTTATAAATGCCACAAAAACCTCTTTAGCCTTATCTAAATACTGTTCACTTATATGTTTCACTGTAAACACCTGGTCCACACACCTCCTACCTTTCCTAAAGCCTCCTTGTTCATCTGCTATCCTATTCTCTGTCTTACTCTTAATTCTTTCAATAATAACTCTACCATACACTGTACCAGGTATACTCAACAGACTTATCCCCCTATAATTTTTGCACTCTCTTTTGTCCCCTTTGCCTTTATACAAAGGAACTATGCATGCTCTCTAACAAGCCCTAGGTACTTTACCCTCTAACATACATTTATTAAATAATAGCATCAACCACCCCAAAACTATATCCCTGCCTGCTTTTAACATTTCTATCTTTATCCCATCAATCCCAGCTGCCTTACCCCCTTTCATTTTACCTACTGCCTCACGAACTTCCCCCACACTCACAACTGGCTCTTCTTCACTCCTACAAGATGTTATTCCTCCTTGCCCTATACACGAAATCACAGCTTCCCTATCTTCAACATTTAACAATTCCTCAAAATATTCCCCATACCTCTAACACTCCATTTAATAACTCTCCTCTCCTATTTTTAACTGACAAATCCATTTGTTCTCTAGGCTTCCTTAACTTGTTAATCTCACTCCAAAACTTTTTCTTATTTTCAACAAAATTTGTTGATAACATCTCACCCACTCTCTCATTTGCTCTCTTTTTACATTGCTTCACCACTCTCTTTTTCTCCATATACTCTTCCCTCCTTGCATCACTTCTACTTTGTAAAAACTTCTCATATGCTAACTTTTTC